GGGCAATATAGGTATATACTAAGTTTCAGTCTTTCTAGTGTTAATAAGAAACGTATAGAAGAGGTAAATGGGAGTCGTGATCTATTTTATTAATTGAGAAATAATTTAGCAACGTGGAACGCATGTCGACAGGCATTAATTTAAGCTGACACGTGTTTGCAGAGTAGAAGGTGGTCGCGTGACGCGGTTTCATTTCCTAGATCTCAAAGAAACGGTATAGAGCGAGAGGAAGAATATACACGGAGACGATGTGTTCGCCCCACCTTTTAATCCCTCTTAATTATATCCTTCGACCCCTCGCAAGGCCGCTAGGTACACAGTAGCTACCGGTACGAGGAAAATCGTAATTACACGTTTGCCCGCTCTACTAGCTGTTATTTTATACTCAGAATTAGAATACCGTGCACCGCTATCTTTATTATCGCCTAGCCGTCTTCTAAATCCTAATCTCACGTGAAACGTGTGAAAAATTATCGAAGCAAATTAGAGATTATAAATACGTGACTTTTTATTTTTAATTAAGACCGAACAGGAGCGGATTAAAGATTCACGAGGCCTGGGGCTAAAATGAATATGGGGCCCACTTAAGGGCGAAAAATGTTCATTCTTTGAATATAAATAAAAACTGTTGTTGCTTTTTTAATTTATTATCGTAGACATAATCTGTGCAAATATTTTTTTAATTCCAGCTCGCGGAGACCCTTGCATGTTGGGATTTAATTCGTCCTTTGAACCGGGAAATGTTCTTCTGCTTTCTATTTACAAGCTCCATATCCCGAAATAAATTTCGTTCCCAAATAATTAATATTCGTAAAGCAGGAAGCTGGGTTCAATTTTGTTTGCCAGATTTCACGTACCAAAAAACGGGTCATAAATACGGATTTCATAAATTTCGACGTCCGTGAAAAACCGGCGATTACGAGCAATAAAAAATATAAACGATAAAGTTGGACGGGGGAATTAACGAAACGGTATTTAGAAACGACCGTCGAATAAAATGCCGCGAGTATTCACCGCCGTGCTGCAATTAATAAATGGAACGTTTCCCGTTCCACGATATTTCAGCTTATGAGAATAATGTGTGAACAGGATGATGTAACGCTCGCGATCCTTAAAATCTATAACTTTCTCTGACTGAAGAGTCTACGAAGTTAATCGTGAGAGATCCGATTTCAATTGATCGATAGTAGTAGAGAAAATTTCTGAACGTCGAACAGCGTCACTGCAACGATTGGGAGAAACGACGGACAGCGAAGGGTGTCATAATAAATTAGCTCTTCCCCTGAAACGGATCTCTCGACCATTTTACGAGCAATGAAAACCAACAGAGACATATTTATTTCCTAAATAATAGACTAATAA